GGTTGCCTGTTCAAAGGGCAGATGCTGCTGCTGCCCCAGGAGACCTCTGGGTGCAGAGGGGTGAGGGGGATGCGCACAGGGCTGCCTTCACCAGCTGGCGTGCGTGCACACAGGTGAATACTGTCCTAGGTTAAGTTTGGCTGTCCTGCAATGCTTCCTCTCCTGGTGCTTCTCCAGTACAGACACGGCCGAGGTCAGGAGGAAAACCGAGCTCTCTGGACTGCTACGTGGTGGCAGGGGCTCTTGGCAGTGGGTGATACGAGGCCATTTGTACAGCTCGGGTCAGAGCTGGGTCAGGAGTTCTGATTTCTAGCATATTTCTATCTTAAGAGGTTCAGATGAATGTGGGGCTTCACAGAGTTCCTGCAGCCTCCTCTGATGCTGATGTGGGCAGCCACTCTACGGCTGGGTTCTTCAGGCTTGATGGGTGCAAACACGGTGGCAGCCTGCCTGCCCCCATCGCCCTGTGCGGGCTGGCACCAGCGCCCCAGTGGGATGCAGGGCCCAGCGAGGCATGGGGGGCTCCCCAGGCTCCTCGCCCCTGGCTGCTGCTGCTGGGTGGGCTGCGTGAGCAGGAGTGGCTGTGGGGCTTGTAGCATTGTCCCCAGGACCCAATGAGGGCTCTGCAAGAGAGGCAGGACTGGAGCCGTCGGGGGCTCTCAGAGGGCACCTGCACAGCTGGGGGCTCGGGCCATGGTTGTGCACGTACAAGGAGGCTGTGGGGTGCAGCATGTAAGAGCATGGAAAGAGCGAAAGCCTGAACGGAGATTAGATTAAAAGAAAATGTAATTAAACACACAGAGCATCCTCTCTGTTACTCAAATCTCTTTGCATAACTTATCAGGCAGGCTCTTTCCACAGGTGAGTGCACAGCTGTCACATTCATTTGCTGGGCACCTGTTGGAAGAGCTGTCAGGTCAGCTCAGCATTAATTGCACATTAATTGCATCTTTCACGTGTAATGGGATTTAAAAATCTATAAGAAAAAGTGCCAAAAGTTCTTGCTGCTCCTAAGCCAAGCTGGTGATGCCGCCTGCTATTTAACGCTCCCGTGTGCTCTAGCTGCTGCAGTGGGGTGAATGTGCACTGAGGAAACCCCATGCAGGTGCTGCTGGCCATCGTTGTAACTACTCCAAATGCCACCTAAAAACCAAATCACATCCCTGCTTTGAGTGCATTCCATCCATGCCTGTTCTAGTCAGGAGGGGACAAGCCCACGTGTCACCGGGGGTGTCCTGTGCCCCAGCAGGACCCTCACGACCATGGAGCCGCCTGGTGCTGCCTGGTGATGCTGTCGGTGCCTGGGAGTCCTGCACTGTGTCCCGAAGGCTGCCCAGCTGCCCGGGTGGCATCGGAGCCGACTGGCTCTGTGCCACAGGGGAGGTGCCTGTTGTCCCTGGGATCGCGGCAGCTCCTGGGCTCTGGGGAGCGTGACAGGGGCCACTGCTGTCCCCAGCCTCTGCAGTAGCGCCAGCTGTGGGAACGTGGGGCTTTCGTGGGCACGACAGGTCCATGCGGAGCAGCCGTGGGAGCCCGTGTGGGTGCTCGGGGTTCTTTGGCCACCTGGGTGAGCAACCAAAGCGCAGCCTCGCGCCCGCTGCGGCCGGGCGCCTGCTCAGCCCTCGCGGCACCGCCACGTGTCTCGGGCCGAGGAGTGGCTTGTGCGAGCGCTGCAGAAGGAGGATCCCGGCGCGCTTATAAAAGCAGCAGGCGCTGAGCTGGCGGCACAGCCGTTCCCGCAGCCCTGCGCCTCCGCAGCTGAGCCCAGCACCGGGGACGCCCCTCACCTCAGGTACGCTTCTGAGTTAACAGGATTCCCTACTAAACGGGCGCTGCCTTCGCGTTTTTGGAGGAAGACGTGTCCCGTGGTGGGAGAGAGATGAGGCTTTGCTGTCGAGCGTGGGGCAAACGTGAGTGCTGCTCGTGTGGAGGCACTTCGGGCAGAGGATCGCAGAGCAGCCCCAAGCAGCGGGTCCTGCCCCAAGCGGGTGCCACGGCATGAGGCAGCCTCGTGGCTTGTTCCTCTGCTGGTACAGCAGAGCTCCTTTACCTTTAGTTCCTGATTTACTCCAGTGTTTTACAGCACATGCCCTGTCCTGCCCTTGCCTCAGCTACTGGGAGCGCAGCTGCTTCGGACGTGCTTGAGATCCCCTGTCTCGCTGGGCGCCGGGTCTGTACGCTGCCCGCACGGGTTGTCCTGTGGCGCTGCCGGGTCCTCGGGAGGCTCTGGCTTGTGCTCTTAGGGTGGCCAGCAGTGCCCACTGGTTGTTGTGCTAGGGTGTATTTGGAGCGGTGCCTTCAGCAAAGGGGGTAACGTGGCTGTTCCCCCCTCTGCTCTGTGTTCATTTTTCTCCCTTTCTGTGTCCCTTGATGGGCAGGACTGGCAGAAGATACATTTTTTCCCCACATGTCACGCAAAGCTTTGTTCTAGGGAGGCCCCAAATTCTAATATTTTCTTCCTTTCCAAGTCTGTTTTGCTGTTTGCACCCAGGCACAACCATGCTGAGGACGGCAGTGCTGCTCCCGCTGCTGCTCGGTCTCATCGGCTTCGGAAAAGGGCAGACGTTTCACATGGGACCATGTCCAGACCCACCAGTCCAAGAAAACTTCGATATCACCAAGGTGTGAAGAGGTTTCTGAAACCTCCCGTCAGGCAGCAAACGAGGCTATGGTGATATACGCGTAGAGATAAATTGTGCTGGGGCGCAAGGTGGGTGTGAGGGGTCTTGAAACATAAGGGCAGTGGCCACACGCTGCACAAATGACCCAGAGCCCCCAGCCTGGCCCACGAGGCTGGAGGTTTGAGCCCCCCGTGCCCGTGCAGCCCCGCACACCCTCCTGAGACTCGTGGGCTCAGGTGAGGGTGGTCGCTGGCCGCTGCTCGCCTGCTCCTGCGATCCGAGCAGATCAATCCATGTCACCAATGCAGCCAGGCTGCTCTGCACACTCACCGAGTCTCCTTGAGCTGAGCGCTTCTCTCTGTACTTTCTTTTATCAGTACGTCGGAAAATGGTATGAGATAGAAAAGCTGCCATCAAATTTTGAGAAAGGAAGATGCATCCAGGCAAACTATATGCAGGATGAGAATGGGAAGCTTAAAGTGATCAACAAGGAGCTGCAGTAAGTGTTAAATAATCGGGGTCTCACTCACTGACTATTTTCTGTCCTCCGTGGATGGGGAGCCACATGTCCCAGGTCCTGTTGCACGGGGCTAGGGGCCACTCACCAGGTGGCAGCCACCCCTGTGTGCCACTTGGTGCTGAGAGGTGCCCCTGCCCTGCACTGCTCTCTTGCACAGAGTAAAAGTGCCCAAAGAACCTGATGAAAAGGGACTGGCAACATGAGGTATAACGGCTGTTTTTAGTTGGGCAAATATTTGAAAATCTGTTCTTTGAAACCTTTGCCTCATTCTGGTAGTGGCTGCTGTGTAAGGGTAGCAGAACTTGCTGCCAGGCTAGAGCAAGGGGCAGAGCGAGTGCACCGATTGTCTCTTCGTTATTCTTGCTTGCCGGCAGGGACGGCTGCGGATGTCTTTTTATTTGGGTCCCTCAGTAGCTCTGCCTTTCCTGGGGGGGTGGATGAGGGCAGCGAGCACAGAGGCGCCGCTGTCCCCTGCGCTCCCTGGCATGTCCTGGCCACATTGTTCTGCCTGCAACAACAGCGCTGCCACTCGCTCTTTGTGCTGCGTGGGGCAGCGCTGCGGCCGCTCGGCCCCATCTCTGCATCCCGCGCCAGAGCTGGCACAACACCTGCCCCTATGAAGTACCAGGGAACAGGGCTGTGAACCGCAGCCACACAGGGGTTTGCTGGTGACACCCATTCGCTCCTGTCTCCTTGGGTGCTCCTGTGTCCGGCATTTTCGTTAGTGCTTCCTGGAACGTGTGCCCTGCAGAGAGGTGCCTTGGGCGCTGGGGCAGCTTAACCTGCAGCAGCATCTCCTGTCCCCCGCGTGCTGAGCGGGACAAGTCTCAGCCACCCCTTGGTAGATGAATGTCTCAGGAGGGATAATTTCCTGGAAATAAAAACTTAAATGCGACTTCAAATTTATCCTAATTTTATTTCCCTCCTTGTCTATCCTAATTTTATTTCCCTCTTGTCTCTCCTTAGGTCTAATGGCAAATTTAAAGAAATCGAAGGAGAAGTCACATACATGGAGGTAAAGGAGCCAGCCAAGATGGGCATCAGCTTCAACTGGTGTAAGTGTGCAGCTCTCACTGGTGTGAGTGTGCAGCTCTCCCTGCTGTATGTGTGCAGCTCTCGCTGGCCCGAGTGTCCCTCTTGCTGCTGCAAGTGTTGCTTTCACTGGTGAGTGTTGCCCAGAGCTGCTTGCATGCAGGAGCATAAAACAAGAAACTGCAGCGTTATTGACAGCGCAAAACTTGCAGAGCAGGAGGTGACCCTGCCCCGAGGTTTCGTTGCAGCATGATGGCACCACGGGCTGGGCAGAGGGCTGGCAGCGGCACAGCCAGGCAGCTGCTGCTGCTTAGACACAGTCTGCAGCAGGAACCTGAGCAGAGCAGAGCACTGCCCCGGGCTGATCCCCACGCGAGGGAGGGCAGTGCTGCTGCCCGTGCTGCTGCCCTGTCGCTTGGGGAAGCCTGCCCAGCGTGGCAGGCAGCCCGGCGTCCCCAGCACAGCCCTTGCTGCCCCTGCTTAGCTCCGGTAACGTGTTCCTGTTGCTTCTGTGGCACTTGCCAGTGCAACATCCTGCAGCAGGGCATTTCAGGCATGTTACACAGCTCTGTCCTCTAACCACAGCAACGCTTGGAAAAGTTAAAGATGGTCTCTTCCTTGCACCCCTTTTATTTCTTACTTTCTCACATCTTTTCCTCAGCTGCTTGGGGCACTAGAGGAGTTTTTTGGGGAAGGGGTGGAGCGGGGGACATGCACAGACACTGTTGTCCCCTGCAGAGCGCGCGGGGCCAGCATCCTCCTGGCCGTGAGCCCTGGGGAGCCCTGTTTGGCATTCCCAAATGGACCAGGCATAAATCCCTGTGCACGTCACCCACTTCTGCTTTCTGCCTGGTGGTCTGAGGCTGAGGGGCTGACCCTCACAGGAGCAGATGCTTCAGGCATAGCTGCCTGACTGGGAAAAACACTTGCCCGGGGGCTGGTCCCAGCGGGATCAGCCAGTGATGCCGCTGCCTGGCTCCGTGCAGCTCCGAGTCCCTCTGGCCGGAGCAAGGAGGCTTGATGTGTTTTCCTGAGTTGCAGATCCCTGCTCTGGCACATCTTTCTCCTGGGGATGTGGCCCCAGCAGTCTGGGGAGCTGCCAGAGCTGGTCGCCCACAGTCCTTAACGATGCTCCTCTCCCTTCTAGTCACACCTTCTGCCCCATACTGGGTCATCTCCACTGACTACGAGAACTACTCGCTGGTTTACTCCTGCACTAACATTATCTGGCTCTTCCACATCAACTACGCCTGGATTATGTCAAGAGCTCCTGAGATGCACCCAGAAACCGTGACCAACCTGAAGAGTCTTCTCCAGTCCTACAAGATCGACACCGACAAAATGATGCCCACGGACCAGCTTAACTGCCCTCCTGAGATGTAACTGCGACAGCCCCACACCAGCTACAAACTTTCCCTCTTTCCTTAGGCTCCTCTAGGACCTCTTTATGTAGCGCCATAGCTCCCTGCTAACGGTAGCGTGCCAGCCCTGACCGCTGCGCTCTCTGCTGCTCTTCCTCCCTTCTGTCTCACTCTGACTGACTTTTGCAGAGGAACTGACTCATTCAAAGCTAAGGGGTGAAGAAATCCTGAGGTGCAGGTGTGAAGCTCGGCTGCTGCTGCGAATCCTCAAGCGTGCGGCTGCAAAGGGGCATGAGATGTGAGGTGGGGGGCTGGCCCTGCGGGAGGGCCTCTCACTGCGCACCCAGGGGCTGTTTCCTCCCCTGGTTCTGATGTTTCTGGGCCTGTTGGGCTACACAGCGGCTGTGCTACCCTGCAGCACTGCCCCCAGCTGCCACGGCAGGACATCGGCGTCTCTCCCGCAGCCGAGGGACCCTGTGTCCTGGTGCCGGGATGTGCCCCTGCCAAGCCAGAAAACCCTCTCGCTAAAATCCACATCTCGTCCTTTGCGTGTGAAGTCTGAGAAGCCTAAAAATGTCCAGAAATTCAACACTGCTCCATCCGCAGGCAGGCATTGCGCCGCCGAAGGCTCCGCTCCGAGTGCCGCCAGCAGGCAGAGAGCTGGGCCCGCTGCCCTGTCCTGCGCGCACGGGGCGGGCAAGGGCCCCGTGCGGCGGCGCCCGAGGCTCCCCCCTGCCGCCGGCTCTGCCCCGCGCCGCTCACCACCCGAGGGCCCTGCGGCACCGCGGCTGCTCGCCAGGCGCCCCTACGACTCTGCTGCTTCAGTAGCACCCATGCAACTCATTAAAAATGACATCAAAAGAGCTGCCTCTGGGCTTTTGTAGCTTCCCAGGCCGCGGTGCCTTGCGGCAGCTAATACCTGCCCTTCCCTGGCACGCGCGGCAGTGACAGAGCAGGGGTGGCCGCGGGGCAGAGCCTCGCTCCTCCTGCCACCCACAGCGCCGACGGCTGCCCCTGGCATAGAGACCGCGCGGAGGACGAGGAGGCTGGGGCCACGTGTGGGGCTGGTGGGGAAAACACCTTGCAGCAGGTGTCAGGGAGCGGGAACGCTGCCCCTGCACTCGCCTGAGCTGCTGCACTGGGGATGAGGGCAGGGCTTCTTTGGGAACAACCCTGCTGGGGCCGGGGGCTCGCGCACCTTGGGGCTCCTCTGCGGCTGGT